GATGATTGGATATTTAAGGAGAGAATACTGGACGCTAGGTGGGAGCTACCGTTGAAGGACTGACCATGTTAAATCTTTATCTACTAGGCACTGGGGACCATGGGAAGTTAATGAGTAGGGGAGGGGCTTGACCAGATCTGTTTGATCAGGAGAGCTGTGTGTTGGGCCAGAGCTGGGGATAAAAACAGGAGCTTTTTCTTCCACCTCGAACTGAAAGTGTGGATACACTCATGGCATAGTGACCAGCTCAAAAAACATCTATGGGAAACTCGGGCTTCCCTGTCGGTCTACCTTTAAATAGCACTTCGGTTGGGAGACAGAACTTGGGGGGCTTTTGACTTTTTACCGGCTTTGTTGGAAGGACCTGGATATTAGCAAATCCTTCTGAATTGGTGTGTATCCATTTTGCATGTGACCTTCCCTGCCCAGCAGACTGAAGACAGAAGTCTTAGGAGAAAAATGCGTTGAATGAATGAAAAACAAAAACCAAACGCTAACTTGTAAAGGGAAACTCAGTTTCCCGCTCCATAAAATGGGGATGGAGAGGGAGATCCCACCCCTGTCTTCATTGTGAGGATCTGTTACAGTAATGGAGAGTGTAAATGCTTCATAGATCTCACGGCTTTGTGCGGAAGTGAGGTGTTATTATACACCAGCAAAAAGTGACCGGATCAGAGAAGAGGCACTCTTGTGCTTACTGAAAAAATCCCATCTATCATGCCTAAGAGACTCTGCTTTGTGGTTTACATTGATTCACTAATCTCTCTAGCTTTCAGCGAGTGTATCTAGAGTTCTTTCGGTATCTCTGTAAAGTTATTTTTTACCAATTTTAGCTTTTAAGTGGGTATGCAGATACGGCATCTGAGTGTTGTGTGGATATGGCCACCGTTCAGTAACATGTTGATCCAATGCCAGTTAGTACATATTCAAATATTATAGGTGACATAGGTATTATAATCCCCCTCAACGCCCCCTGGCCTGGACAGGTTTGACTGTTTGATTTTATATCATTGCCAAACCTCTACCTGAGGCTTCATTTATCTACCTACCTACCTGCCTATGTCTCCATAAAGAGCTATTTCTCTTGTCTCTTGCTTTGTTTAGATGATATCATGTACTGTGAACATGAAAAGAAACATAAAAGGATGACAAATGGTCCTCATACTTTAGGGTACCATTATAATTATTGTGTTGTATCAGTGGAAAATGCTCTGCTAGGCATAATCAGATGTCAAAAGGATCCTGGAAATGTGTATTTCCTTTTTGTTATGAAATTGCGTTTATATTTATTTCCTCCTTTTCCTTTAAGAACAAGTGGAGAAGGACTTGGGAGGGCAGGTTGCAACATGCTGACTCCTCTCGGTGCCGGTGCCGGAGAAGACCGGAGCAATTGGAAAAAGTATTACATCAATGGTATTATGGAAAACAATTAAAAAGGTGGACTCCTCGGGGCGCCTGGGTGCCTCAGTCTGTTAAGAGTCCGACTTCTGCTCAGGTCATGATCTCATGGTTTGTGGGTTCGAGCCCTGCATCGGGCTCTGTGCTGACGGCTTGGAGCCTGGAGCCTGCTTTGGATTCTGTGTCTCACTCTCTCTGCCCCTCCCCTGATCATGATCTGTTTCTCTCTCTGTCTCAAAAATAAACAAACATTAAAAAGAAAAATTAAAACAAAAAAAAAAAGGTGGACTCCCAGTGTATGTGATTCCAGACAAGCAGTTTAATTGATGCTCTAACCCTGTGCACCCTCCTCCTGCCCGACTAAGCTAACCGGCTCTGGTAGCCTAGATATCAGCCTGCAAGATTTTCTGTGTTTAGGCTAACATGACAACAGTTGGTTTCTTCTGTGTTTTGACTGCAACCCGGGCATTGAAGCTCTTAGGTACCTTCATTAGGATTTAAGAATTTATTAGTTTTTCAGAAGGTGGTAAGAAATTTACTCAAGATTTACTTTTTTGTTTTAAGGTAAAGGCTTCCAAAGCTTGTTTGTCTCCAACTTTCATTTTAGTTTCACTTAATAGGAGAAAACTTTCTTTTCATACAGCATTCTGATTGTGAACAGTCGCTCCTTTGCATTTTCACAAATAGAACACTCTGGGATATGTTCCACAGCATTCATCATGTAGAGCGTTCTTGGTGGTTTTATGTGAAATATTATTGAATGGCTCTGCATGTGAACAATGAATGATAGTTTCATAAATGAACTTTAGGAAGCAGACATGGCTTCAGTTTAGCACTATAAAAACATCTCACTATACTCTAGAAGGTGCTAAGAAAATATGAAGAAATGAAACACATAAAATAAAATACATGATAACACGATAGAAGAATGGAATACATAAGCTAAACAGGTGTGTGGAGGACTGGATGTGTGTGTGCTGGTGTGCTGAACAGAGCTTCAGAAGCCAGAACATACCATAGAACAGGTGGCTGACATGGGCTGCTGAATTTAGGTACTGCCATATATCAAAATACGACAGGCACCATCACTGCTTGTTTTAAATATTTTCCCTGTGGACTTGCTTCCTTGGCATAAGGACCACCTCCCATGGGCTTTCTTATATGTAAAATTATATGTAAGAAAGGTTAATCTTCAAATATGAAATAACATCGCGTGTTTCTAAAAATTAGAACAGTTTTTGAATGGAAGAAAATTCTTCCCCCGACCATTCTACATGATGAGATGGTGAAGGTTCCTGTTTAACAAACCGAAACAGAATTAATTGTAGGCACTAAGCAGGTTTTCAGGTAGGAAGACTATTTTGCTGGAAAAGACACTTTGCTGGGCGAGAGATAGACTGAAGAAATCTGTTGATGTGTAGGAAACACTACTGTTTATCTTGTGTGTGTGTGTGTGTATGTGTGTGTGTTGTGTGCACAAGTTAAAATCTAGGACATATAAAATTAAATATCATAGGGAAAAGGTAATAAGTAGGCATCTCAAATGTTAGGTGCTGTTTATTATACAGTGTAAACAGCTCCATAATGCAGTAATGACAGGACATCTTGGCACTCAGAACGGGATAGGAACGAGAGTGGTTTTAGCTATTTACTCGTGTTGAAAAGTTTTGCCCTGTGACATTTTTGGAAAATCTTCCTTATTTGCTGTCGATACTGAAACTTTTTCAGATTAGAAAAAGTTCATGCAAGTGACGTTTCCCTGCGTCAGAAAATTTTTAGTATGCTCGGCTATTTTGAGACGTTTCTTGTGAGGTAACAGGCACTTAGCAAACACGAAGATGGTATCAGCCATTCAGTAAATACTTTTCATACACAACCGCGTGCCAGAAGTCTCTGTATGAGAGAAAGGTGGATTACAAGAGCAACCGCCACAATGTAACACACAAGAAAAGGCTTCTTGTTTAAATAGCTTTAACTGATCTTTCAAAAATAAAAGCCTAGGGGCACCTGGGTGGCTCGGTCAGTTGGGCCTCTGACTTCGGCTCAGGTCATGATCTCACAGTTTGTGAGTTCGAGCCCCATGTCGGACTCTGTGCTGACAGCTGGGAACCTGCATCAGATTGTGTCTCCCTCTCTCTGCCACTCCTCTCTCTCTCTCTCTCTCAAAAATAAACATTAAAACTTTTAAAAATAATAAAAAATAAAAATAAAAGCCTAAATATTTGCACCTGCATTCCTAAAAAGTTAGATAGATACATATTTGGAAACTGTAGAAAATCTACATGGAGAAAACCATTATGGATATTTTCGCATTTCCTTCCAGGCCTTCCTCTTAAACTTTGTTGCTTCTCTCTCTCCTTCAATGCACACACACAAACTTATGCAACTGGAATCATACTGTTTATAGTCTTAGATTCTGCTTTTTCCACTTAACATACCATGAGCATTTTTCCATGTCATTAAATATGCTTTGAATATGTTCTTGGCCACATAAAATTCCATCCTAGTGATGCACCTGTTTTCTTTTAAGCTAAGACACATGCCATGTTTTCCAGTCATGCTGGACTCCCAAAAGCCAAGGAAAATACTTTGTGTTGATCCACCATCAGGCTCTTATGAATTTGTTTTCTTCTATTTATAAGATGCACCCACACTTCTGGACACTACGTACAATGGAGAGTTAATAAGCAGTCTAAAGATGCCAGGGAGCTTGTCCGCTTAGGTCACCCTGCATCACCATTACAAATGTACGAAGTGTCGACAAGAGTCACAAATGCTCTTTCCAATTTGTGACTGCCACAAATGAAGTTCAAACCTTGCGTGCCCGCCTCAAAAAAGCATCAGTGCCCTTTTAAAGTTGAGTAATTTCGGAAATATGCTCCAAGCTTACAAAAACACCACTTAAAAAGTTTTGCTCTACACTTAGTTTTGCGAAAGTATGTTTTAATTAACTCTTAGTTCAGTCTGCTGAATCTACAGAGGACTGATGGAGTGTTAAAACTTTCTGCCAGAAAATTTGGTACTAACCTCTTTAGGACTCGAACTAGAATGTATCTGTAACACCCACTAAGCATAAATGAACCCTTTAATCCTCAGGAGGGCACTGTGGAACTACGTTCTTAGGGTTTCTCCGCCGTAGGAAGGTTTCTTTTGTTCCTCAAATTGTTCTGAGGGCAAGGCTGGGCCTCTGAGAAAGATTTTTATATTTTCATTTAATTTTAAAGAGAAACCATAAGGACCTTTTAAAATATGAAACTGGAATGTATGTATTTTATGAATACTTTCCTATTAAACTGAGCATATTGAAGAATAATTGAGCTGGTTTGTACCTGGAAATTCATATTCAGGTAAGGAAATTGCATTCATGTACTTTTCTGTACATTTGGAAAGAGCCACCCAAACCAGGTTTAATTCTATGATCTCCAATATTCAGCTTTAAGCCTTAGACTTTGATAGTACTTACTGTAAACCCAGCCTTAAAAATGTCTTCTTTTAATCTCTGTGGAGGTAAAGTTTGGCCTTTTCACCTGCCCTCCCGACTGTGTTTAAACTGAGATTCCTGTAACATGCTTTTCCAGGGGAAAAACAAAACAAAAACAGTGTTCAGATAAAATATTATAGGTTTATTTAAAACTTAATTCTCACCTTGAGTATGCAAAATACAAACTCCACAAAATGTTCATTTTTTTTACTTTGTAGTTTACAAATATACAAAATAGAAGTTTGCTTAAATTTATATTACATATTTATTAAGGCAAGGAACTATATAGAAAAAAACATTTGTTCTGCTTAAGGCATACTTGGGAATAAACCATTGTACAAATTATTGCACATCTGAAACCACAGTGCATAACAGACTGTCTGCATAAAAATGTTAAAGTAAACCAGGTGTATTTACCTGACTTAGGTCATAAATGTAGATCGGAAGACAAAAATAGATTTTCCTTGTCAAAGTATGCAGCAGTTTGAGAACTTTGGCTTCCTCATTTGGTACCTTTAGAACCAAGACTCACCAAGCACCATCGTTTAGGTTATTAAAACACATTTTCTGTACCTGAATTTCTTCCTCTTCTTCTAGTATCATAATAATGGCTTTTAGAAGGCAAAGAGAATACAAGGTGATCTTTACACTTATATTGCATCGAACACAATTCAAGGGAATTCTGGTCTTCCCTCCCCCCAACTCATGGATCTAATTTATACCCTGATATCCACACCTTCCAGTCACCCCCTTGGTGTTTTGTAAGTCCAGGAATATTCAAGTTGGACTGAGAATTGGAATGATCGAAGATCCAGTCACAGACCCCATCTGTTCTTTGATTTGTCTTCTGGTTTCCCTGTGTCTCCTGATTATCCATTCACAAGTTGGCTTGTTGGGAACTTGACCATGATTGTAGTGCTCTCCAGCTGGGTTCCTCCCCTCCCCGGGGAAGACAGTGTGAAAAAAGTAAAAAATACTGAATTCTCTTCTTGGCAGTGTGGGTCATATCCACTGTCTTGGGATTTAAAAGTGCCTCTTCATGTGTAAGGCGAGGTGGTCCGACCTGGAGAAGGCCCGGTCGCACTTCTGGCACTGAAAGGGGCGGTGCCCGGTGTGTTTCCGGTAATGCCTGGTCAGTTCGTCAGAGCGGGCAAATTTCCACCCGCAGCCATCCCAGTCACAGTGGTAAGGCTTCTCACCTGGCAGAGGAAAAGAAACCCGTTGAAGCCATTGCTACATCATGCAGAATTGGCCGCTTTAAAAACTGGAGGCCAAATGTTAAACCGACTCCCCAAGCACCCTACTCTGAAAGAAGCCAGGAATGTTTTTAAACCACTTCAAGGCCATGCTAAATTTCAGATCACAAATAGGAATATTAAGCTTCTAAGTATTCCTTTCGCTTTTTTTCTGGTGTGTGTGTGGCGGGGTGAGGAACCGACATTTAAGCAATGAAAATACACACATACAACGTCAACCTACACTTCTATATTGCTAATGTTTTCATTCTTTTGAGTCAAAGTACCATAGTGGTGGAAGTGAATTTGGAATTGAAATCTGCTGGTTTATCTCCCCTGCCCAAACCAAGCAATTAATATCCTGTCCCACTACAAATGGGTCCAAAGAGCCACAAGCGGCTACTTTTTCTGCCTCAGAATTTGTTATTTTTTAAGATTTTTTTAACATTTAAATCCAACTTAACACATAGTGTGCATTTCTGTTATTGTAATGACTACCACACCTAACTGACCTTATTATGTACCTGCGCTTACATAACATGGAATTTCCCTGCACTGACCATCTTAAACTACAATCTTAGTAATCATAACATTCAATTCTTGAAAGTTTCTGAAATAGAATTCTTGAAAGTTCTGAAAATAGAACTTACTTATGAAGAGTAGACCTAAAAATAGCAAAAGAGTGTAAATGTGGGGAGGGAACAACCAGTGAAAATTGTCTAGAAAATTAAAAACTAATAAGACCTATCATTATTTTGCACTGCAGGTGTCATTTAGTTTTTAATTTTTTTTTAACGTTTATTTTTGAGACAGTGCAAGTGGGGTAGCACCAGAGAGAGAGGGAGACACAGAATCCCAAGCAGGCTCCAGGCTCTGAGCTGACAGCACAGAGCCCAACACGGGGCTCAAACCCACGAACCGGGAGGGGAGATCATGACCTAAAGTCGGACGCTTAAGTGACTGAGCCACCCAGGCGCCCTGATAATTTAGGGTGTTGTTTTTTTTAATCTCTACACTCAGTGTGGGGCCCGAACCCACAACCTCGAGATCAAGAGTTTCATGTACCAGCGACCGAGCCAGTCAGGCACCCCCAAAGTGTAATTTCTTGATTACAAGGGCAATGCTTTGCTCAGACTAGGAGAGGCCCACCTGCAGCCTGGAACCTCCCTCCTGCCTTTCAAAAGCCTAAGAGAACTGCACATTCAAGCACTGATACTATCCATCAAGCAAAAGGCTCTTGGGCAAAAAAGGAGGCGCCAGCTTGCTGTTCTCTCCTGTGATCCAAGAGATGGAGGAGATAGACTGTGCCTCATCCCAAGGGAGGCGCTGAGAAGTGTCCACAGTTCGCCAGTGGGGCTGGACACTACCCTCCCTCCTTTCAGCAGCTTCTATTCTCCTACCTGTGTGGGTTCGCAGGTGTGCCTTGAGATGAGAACTCTTCGTGTAGGTTTTGCCGCAGCCCGCATAGTCACAAGTGTGAGTGGCTGTCCTTTTCCGCGGCCACGACCTTCTCCCCCTCTTTGGTTTCTGCTCCTCTGGCATGCAGGAACCAGGTGGCATGAGCTCTAGGGGTGAAGAAGGTGGGGTCAGCATCATCCCCTGAGCCCGGGAGGGCGGGCACTCGCAGGGCTCCCCAGCCCAAACTATGAATCCCCGGGACTGACCTTGGTAATGGAGTGGTGGCACCTGTGGCTGCATCTGGTCAGGCAAAAAGGGTGGGTAGTTGGGCCCAGGGTGGGGATGGAAACCCGGGGGGAGCGGTAGGGCAGGATGACAGTCCCTGCTGCTCAGCAGTTCCTCGGCACCAAGGGTCGGGGTAGTCCTGCTGGGGAGCTGCCGCCCCAGGGGGAAGTCGTGGGCTGGCGGCCGGTGGCCATTGCTGAGAGGGGGTCCAGTGCCCATGTGGGCCTCTAGGGGCCGACCGACGGTGCATGAGGAGACCGCCTCCTGCTTGATCTTGGGGCACATGCGCGGTGGCCCGCCACTGTAGGGCGCCACTACGACCGGGTGGCTGCCGTCCGGACTGCCTTTGCTAACACTGATGACCGACGGGCTGCCGTACTCGCTGCCAGGGGCACTCAGCGACGCCTTCAACACAAACTTGCCCATCAGCCCGCCACCTGGCGGCTGCGGCTGCTGCGGCGGAATATACACTGGGTCCAATTCAGGCCGAAGGAGCTCGGCCACGAAGCCGCCCGAGGGGCTCACGTCGTTGATGTCCGCCAGGTTGAAGGGAGCTGTGGGAGGAGGCACAGACTCCCGGCCATAGAGGAGGCCGCCGCCCGTGCTGCCTGGCGCCACGCCCGGGTCGCCTCCGGCCCGGATCGGATAGCTGAAGCTGCAGGTGGAGGGCGCACTGGCAGGACCGCTGCTCGACGGCGAGGACGAGGATGAGGCTGATGCCGACGAGGACACGGTGGCGGCCACTGACTCCTGATGGGACAGTGAGTTGGAGAGGATAAAGTCCAGGTCCAGGAGATCGTTGAACTCCTCCGTCTCCCTCCGGGGTAGGAGAGCTGGGTTGTTGCCGCCGCAAGCCGCACCGACTCCGCCACTTTCCAGGTCGGTGGCCACGGTCGCCGCCGCCAGGTCGTAGGGGCGGCCGGGAAGCACGGGGGGAAGTCGCTTCATGTGGGAGAGCTCCTCCCGCCAGCGCTGCAGGAACAGGAGGGGAGAGAGACCGTCGGTGTTGGTCCCCTGCTGCTACACTATACATACTGGCGGGCCGGCCACGCCGATACCGCCCAGGCACCGGGACTGGGCAGGCACGAAGCGCCCGGGGCCTCCCGGCGTTAGCGCGGCAATCTCGGCCCACGGCCGGGCCCGAGGAGAGGCGGTGCGTCGGTTTGGAAGATGTTATGTCGTGTCTGCCCGATTGCGTGTGAGCAAGCGCTGTGGCTCGGCAGCCCGGGTCCTGCCCCAGCCAGATCCCGGGGACGCTCCCGCCAACCCTGGAATTGGGGCACTGAGGATCTCCCTGTGCGCACCCGCCACGGGTACGCCTACGCGCCAAGCTCACTGGGGCCCAGCCAGTGTCTAGGGACACAGCCACCTCCCGCCGGTGGCCCTCGCGCCAGCTCTGCCGCCTGCGCGCTAGGGGACGTATGCGGACCTGGGGTGCGCCCCCGGCGGCTCCGCAGTGTAGGGACCACACGCATCTACAACTGAGCCAAGGACGCTGAAGCCATCCTAGGAAGACTGCGGGGCCGGTGCGGTGGCCTCTCCTTCCATTCGCCGGGTGGTTCTCGGTGATCCCTGGGCTCCACCCGTCCCCACCCTACCCACAGAAGCCCACCGGACGATCCCGACCTTTCGAGGCAATACTCACGTTATTCGGGGCACCTGCTGGACGCAGTGTCTTCTCCCTTCCCGCCGGGCCGGACGCGAACGTGGAGAAGGACGGGAGTAGTGCGTCGCTGACAGCCATGTCAGACTCACCAGGTGGCTGCCTGAGGGCCGGGTGGGGCGCAGAGGCAGGAGTCAGGGGGGCCACTCGCGACCGCCGCTCGGGCGCGTCCCACCGGCCTCCGGCCTTCACCCCTCCCTGCGCCCCGCGCTGCACCTACCTCATTAATGTGGGGGCCCAGAAGGTCCTCGGGAGCCCGAAGCAGTGGGGGTACACTAGCCCCAAAGTCAACGAAGAGGGGGGGGGAAGAATCGAAGCAAAAACCAAAAACCTCAAATTTTCCGAGATCCTTCTTCTTTG